CTGGACACATTCCAGCTTGTCAATATCTCTCTTCAATTGTGGTGCCCAGAATTGGACACAATATTTCAGGTGTGGAATGTTCTCACATGTTCTCAGCTTCAGAGGAAGGCAAACATTACCAAGAATACTCCACGATTGGTTTGCCTTATGGTCACTTATCAATTAGTCAGAAATGACGTGAAGGCACACAATATGAGACCACATGGTAAGCCTAGCTAACCCTAGAAATAAGACAGATCTATTTCAGCAGTCACTACAACTTTATTAAGACAAACCTTTACAAGCTGTAATATAAAGTGCACATAATTTGCCAGCAGCAAAGCACGGAGTCACAAGCAGCCCAAGGAGGGAGAGGGTGGATCATGTTGCTTTGAGGAGCCCCTTTTTTTCATTTCATGAGAGAGCAATTCTACAAAGCACAGAAATCAGATGGGGAAGCATAACATGCTCTTAATAGTTATGTAGTACCTGCCACACATTATCACTAAAAGCAATGGAATGGGACTACAGCTACACTCTGCCCAACCTCGGTGCTGTGCCTCAAAAGTGTCAAGCGATACAGACTCGTATTACAATATAATGCACTATGGATGTGAGGTTTAAAATGCTCGTGAGTTGCAAGAGCAATGCCTCCATGAGTCAAGGTACTTTTGCAAATACAGACAGACAGAACACCCACTACTGTAGACCTGGCCCCTGACAAAACATTGGACATGCATCACTCAAAGTCATTGAGTTTTCGCACTGACAGCCCTCTTTTGGGACAGGAGTGGCTTCATCAAACACAGTTTGGCACTTCAATCAACTGGCCAATGAATGAAACAGAAGCCCTCCCCACTTGCCCCAATCTGTTGCCAGTTTCTTGTCACTCCATAGCCTCCAGCAAGGCCCAGAGCCTTTATTCCCCTTACTTTCAGCTATTACTAGGAAAAAGTAACTTGCATCTGCAGCATGCCCCTGGAGTGAAAAACTGGGGACACAAAGCTCTGTGCCATATCTACGACAGTGCTGTATTTTCTCAAGAAGGATGAATCCATTATTTTATAGACATAATACTATAGAAAATATCCATGTTTCAATCCAACAGCTTCAGACTGAGAAAGGAAGTTTTTTTTTTTGTCATGTCAGGAGCGACTTGAGAAACTGCAAGTCGCTTCTGGTGTGAGAGAATTGGCCATCTGCAAGGACGTTGCCCAAGGGACGCCCGGATGTTTTTGATGTTTTACCATCCTTGTGGGAGGCTTCTCTCATGTTCCCGCATGAAGATATGGAGCTGATAGAGGGAGCTCATCCATGCTCTCCCTGGATTTGAACCTGCAACCTGTCGGTCTTCAGTCCTGCCGGCACAGGGGTTTAACCCACTGCGCCACTGGGGGCTCCTCAGAAAGGAAGGTGACTTTTGGGTTTTGCATCTGATTAGGCTGCTGCTCTGGAGTGTCTTCTATTGGTAGTAGCAATAAAGGGGTGAAGGGGATTGAGACCTTTTAAGTCTCAGTGATGAGTAGCTTGTAATAAAGGGGGTGGACCAGAAACTGGCAACAACGTGGCATTATTTTCTCATGTCTACATGAGAAGCAGCAAATAACTAATAACAAAAAAAACAAACAAACAAAAAAAACCCAACTCCAGGAACTGAATATGCACACTTCACTGCTATTAAGAGTCAGTGGGTGAGCTGAACAGAGAGATTTCTCTTGTTTTAATAGTTTAACCACAATGTAAACATCCACAGTTGCCTATACTGACCTAAAGTAATTTCCTTTTTTCATGGTTAATGTGACAATAAAATATATATTTTAAAATTACAATAATGCAAATAAAATTACAGTTTTCCAGGGGCATACTCAATATGTGTGTCTGATGTATTGTCGAAGGCTTTCATGGCCGGAATCACTGGTTGTTGTAGGTTGTTTCGGGCTATATGGCCATATTCGAGAGGCATTCTCTCCTGATGTTTCGCCTGCATCTATGGCAAGCATCCTCAGAGGTAGTGAGGTCTGTTGGAACTAGGAAAATAGGTTTATATATCTGTGGAATGACCAGGGTGGGACAAAAGACTCTTGTCTGTTGGAGCTAGGTGTGAATGTTTCAACTGACCACCTTGATTAGCATTTGGCGAACGTTGAACACTAGACTGGCTTTTATTAGTTATTATTGGATAATTGGATTGTTTTAACTTTTTATAATTGTGGCTGCTATGTATTTTATCTTACTATGTGTATTGCTGGCATCGAATTGTGCCTTTTGTAAGCCGCCCTGAGTCCCCCCTCGGAGGTTGAGAAGGGCGGGGTAGAAATGCTCGAAATAAATAAATAAATTGATGGCCTGGCAGTGCCTGGAGCAATCTTATGTTGAGAGGTGATTAGATGTCCCTGATTCACCCCTAGCTCTAGCAGGGGTGAATCTGTCCCACCCTGGTCTTTCCACAGATATAAAAAACTATTTTCCTCGTTCCAACAGACCTCACTACCTCTGAGGATGCTTGCCATAGATGCAGGCGAAACGTCAGGAGAGAATGCCTCTAGAACATGGCCATATAGCCCAAAAAAACCTACAACAACCCAATATGTGTGTCTATTTAGTAGTAAAACAAAAGTGAAGAGTAAGGGGAGCTATTGTTTAGTTAATTCTGTGGCTGGTTTCCAAGACAGACAGAGAAACTCTTGGTCCCACAGCAATTGCATACTCATACCTGGAAGCCCTTTCCCTTGATCTCTGATGGCAAACAGTAGGTTGCAGTTACAGAGTAGTTGAGGCACACTAACCATGCTTACGAGCCACTGTTAAGTATTGCTTCCTATGTTCCAGACATGCATATTAACCCAGGAGAAGGGGATTGGTCAATAACCATTAGGAGTGTTTTATAGAAAAGAAGAGTCAATATTTTTACATTTGGACAACCACTTGGAAGTGATTCAAAAGCCTTAACCTAAACCAAATGGTGCTCTAGCGTAATTGTTAAGATACCACTCCTTGATGCCCAGCTAAGCATTCTGCAAAGCTGTGCACATTCCTTAAATCTGGTAAAATGATCTGTTTTTATACTTGCATTCTCCAACACTGGCAAGAGCAGTTACTCTACTATATTATCTCCTGCAAAGGGAGAGAAAATACTCTCTTGCTTTGTCACAAAGATTCAGTCTACTGCTGATACTTGTAAATACCCTCAACAGTGCAATAAGAAGATCTTATAATTAGTTCGTGGCTAAACAACACATATAGAATTTGATAAGGTACCCACTTTTCAGATGCTACAGTAATCCATACTGAAACGGAGAAGGAGTCAGCTTTCCACTCAGGATAGCTCACAGGGAATCCTGCTCTAGGCCTTGGTGGAGTGGATTATTCTAAAGTGCATTCTAATAGCATTTTTTTTGTACATGGCTGGGTGGGGGGAAATCCTAGATACATTAGCAAATTACCATTCTCATCAATCTGGAAAACATACATCCACCATTTTCCTCTCAGTAAGTCCCAGTAAGCAACCTCCAGCACCTTAAAAATCTATATAAATAAAAATGTTATGTTCGTTTGTGGGATTAACAGAACTCAAAAACCACTGGACAAATTGACACCAAATCTGGACACAAGACACCCAACAACCCAATGTATATCCTTCACTCAAAAAAAATGATTTTGTCATTTGGGAGTTGTAGTTGCTGGGATTTATAGTTCACCTACAATCAAAGAGCATTCTGAACCCCACCAACGATGGAATTGAACCAAACTTGGCACACAGTTCTCCCATGATCAACAGAAAATATTGGAAGGGTTTGGTGGGCAGTGTCCTTTGGTTTTGGAGTTGTAGTTCACCTACATCCAGAGATCACTGTGAACACAAACAATGATGGATCTGGATCAAACTCTACATGAATACTCAATATGCCTAAATGTGAACACTGGTGGAGTTTGAGGAAAATAGAATCTTAACATTTGGGCGTTGTAGTTGCTGGGATTTATAGTTCACCTACAATCAAAGAGCATTCTGAACCCCTTCAACGATGGAATTGAACCAAACTTGGCACACAGTTCTCCCATGATCAACAGAAAATATTAGAAGGGTTTGGTGGGCAGTGTCCTTTGGTTTTGGAGTTGTAGTTCACCTACATCCAGAGATCACTGTGAACACAAACAATGATGGATCTGGACTAAACTCTACACAAATACTCAATATGCCCAAATGGTGGAGTTTGAGGAAAATAGAATCTTGACATTTAGGAGTTGTAGTACGCCCATTCTGAACCCCACCAACAATAGAATTGGGCCAAACCTCCCACACAAAACCTCCATGTGGGCCACAGCAATGCGTGGCAGGGGACGGCTAGTTACTGATAAAAAAAATCTTTAAGTGACAACCAAAACCAAAGATGAGGCCCTCGTCAACAACTAATGAAGAATATTACTTTAGTACTGCAACCACCAAGTTCAAACTTTCACTGAAGGAGCTAAGCAAGAGAGAAGACAAGCAACCTTCCTGTTGCTAAGGGAATGGGAGCATTATCAATAATTCAAGAGGAATTCAGCAACTCTCCGTCAGCAGGAAAAAGAACTGTCTCCGAATATTTCTGCAACTTACACCTCTCAAACCATATCATATACTGATGAGGTGAAGAGAGATATAGAGAGGAGACCCAGCGTAGCCAAGAGAGGAAGGGGCTGACATTGTCAGGGAAGACTCAAAACGAACAAGAGGGCTTTGGGGATCCACCTCCCACGCTCCTTCAATTTTTACTGAAACCTCTACCTCCACTTTATTTCTTTTGAACCTCACGAATCCTCTCATACTTCTACCAACCGTTACATTCCATACAGACTCTATTTACCTCCTCCTCTGATCCTCTACCCAAGCCTACACATTCTTTGCCCCTTAGAGCCTATGCATAGCACTTTATGATCTATCTTCCCCTGTTGGTGGGCGCTGTCTTGTGCTGAGGTTCTTCCTACCCACAAGGGGAGAGTCTGCCAAAATAAAGGAATCACTTCTCCAGTTCAAATCCCAATTCTTTCCGTACAACACCAATTCTTCACAGGCCTTGGAGTCAGAGTCTCACAACTACAGGAGAAGTGGGCGTCTTCATTTTCTCCTCTGCAGAGGGGTTCATGTGGGACGAAGCTCTCATGACATACACAGCAATGAAGGAAGCAGCATGGATAGGGTGAAGTGACGCTGGCCAGGAGCGCTCTGCCGCAACAATTAATCAGATTATGTCGCCCTCTCTTTCGATGCCAACGTATTTGAGTGCATCTGCCTGGCTGTACCTGTGAGAGAAGCGAAACAGCCATGAGCAAACACGCTCCTTCTGTGCGGAACACGTGGGATCCTGTAAAGCGCATTAAGTCCTGCAGGATGAATCCAGCTCACCATGTCATTTCATGTGGCCCTCCAGATGCCGGACTACAACTCCTGTATGTTACAGTAAGTCGTAGCAGGTTCAAGTGTGTGGTAAAGAAAAACCTTATGATAATTATTATGTACAGCTGGTAATGTAGGTCAGCTAGCATGTTTGGTCCACACCCGATGGGGTATAACTGTATGAATTTTAGAATAGTTTGGAGAAGCAATACGCTACTCTGAGGAGGAGAAGCAATACGCTACTCTGAGGAGGAGAAGCAATATGCTGTAATGCTGCTATGCTCTAAAAGCAGTGCTCTTTATTTATTTATTTAGTATATTTGTATACCGCACCTTTCAGCCTTCCGGCGATTCGAGGCGGTTTACAAGGCAAAATTCAATGCCACCAAGAACACAATTACAATATAAAATGTCAACATCAATAAAATCATAACACTATAATAAAACATAATTCAATAAATACTCATGACCTACTTGGGAACTGCAATTCCCTTCCTTGGGTACCTGTGCCCCATTCTATACTCTGCTGGTCAAAGACCATAAGAAATCATTGATTGATTGAATAAATACTCATTAAAACAATGTCCAGTTCCGTCATGTAGTTGTTCCGTTCTTATGGCGGTTACTCAGTATTCGCAAATGCCTGCTCGAAAAGCCATGTCTTAAGATTCTTCCAAAATGCTAGGAGCAAAGAAGCCAATCTGATCTCCCTAGGAAGGGTGTTCCATAACCGAGGGGCCACCACTGAAAGGCCCTGTCTCTCGTCCCCGCCTGCCGTGCTTATGATGATGGTTGGACCGAGAGCAGGGCCTCTCCAGATGATCTTAAAGTTCTTTGCCATGGTGGAATAGCTATTTACTCAAGGTTTATGTTTTGCTCTCTCATTTGAATGAAGATGAAGAAGCCTTATTCTGTGTTACTGACAAGGAGTGTGGAAGTTCGTTGCACTGTCTGATTTTGTATGCAACACTGCAAGTTCATCTTTATTGCCTCTGCTGATAAGAGTAAAGTTTTTCTGTTCCTTTTTCCTCTTGCCTGTGTGTTTTTTGCATGGGACTTGGCTAAAATTCGCTTCTGCGCAACACTGTAGACATCATGAATACTTGGGATTTGTGATACAGTAACACCTGGAAGACTGCAGTTTGTTCTGTTCAGTCAGAATAATGGGTTTTGAATTTAGATACAAGACTTGTGGATGTAACGTCTGACTTTAAAATGATTTTAACCTTTCTCCAATCTCAGAGCCACAAGTGCTGTTGGACTGCAGTTCCCATTATCCCAAGTCCACATGGCAGATAATCAAAAGTGATGGGAGTTATCATTCAATAAGATCTGGGGACCCAAACTGAGTAAAAACTAAACTGGACCCAAACTGGGTAAAAACTAAAGTGCACTGACCACTTTATTATAGATAGATAGATAGATAGATAGATAGATAGAGAGAGAGAGAGAGAGAGAGAGAGAGAGAGAGAGAGAGAAGGCTTGTTTGATTTTAAAAAATGGTTCAAAACTCGGTTCGGATGTAGGGGGTGCTGGTGGTTCAATTCTAAAGTCAATTCTGATTTTCACAGAAAAAAATGTTCAAAACTTTTTGAAACTTCTGAGACTTCCGAATCCTTCATGGTTTGAAAGTGTTACTTCCTGTTTCATTGGGTGGTCTTAACTTTGAAAGTAGTTGTTATACTCCAGAAAGGGGGGGGGGGGGAAGCAAAGGGAGGGAATTTATCCACTCTGGTTTAAAACGCTTCTCTAGCTTAAGACAGAAGCTGGGGGAAAGGAAAGGGAGGGAATTCATTCACTCTGGTTTAAAACTTCTCTGGGGGATCCGACTCACTTACTGATTCGTAACAGAAATGGAAGAAAAAGCTTCGGAAGGGCAAAGGGATTTCCGGTTTCCTTAAAAACTTCGAAATCCCTTCAAATGGAAATCTTTCCAAATTTATTCCGAATTGCAAAGATTCTGACCCAACCTAACCATACCTAATAAATAGATAGACAGATAGATCGACAGACCTCTACATTCACGAATTCTCCATCCATGGATTCAACAGCCCTTTGAGGGCATCCCTAAATCTGATGGGATTGATATCTCAAACCTTTTGGAACCCAACACTGGAAGTAGCCACTTAGGTCTTTCCCTGCTTTCTCACTGCACACCCACCTGTAATCAAAAAAGAGCTCTTCACCAGCTTGGATCGCTCTCTTGGCAAAAATCCCAATACGGTGGTCTCCGTTCACCATCACCACTATTTGGGGAATAAGAGATGAGATTGGTTTCTGGTGTGATTACCTGCTCCACATTACCTTCAATGCACAGCCACTCACAACCATCCAAACACATGGTCCTAAGTTCAAAATATTTCCAAGCTACAGAAGAATTCTGAAGTGGACTCGTGGTATCTCTACAGCTGAGATATGCTTTTCTACAAAAGGATAAACAGTGCAGAAACCAGTGACTGTTTAATTCAACTGGTATTTTCATCTTCCTTATTTACAACAGATTTGAAACCTGCATGTTTAACAGAAATCTAGGATTCTCATAGGTTCATGACATTCTGCTCAAGCTGCTGGATTTTTCAGCTTCTCTTTGGGCACTCTGTAGGTGACTATTTATTTATTTACTTATGACATTTATATGCTGCCCTTCTCACCCTGAAGGGGACTCAAAGAGGCTTACAAGGTATATATACATACAATATATTATATTATTAGCATAGTACAATATCAGTTTTAAATATTGCTATATTATACTATACCAATTATATTGTAATATTATTATTAATATTACATGTAATATAAATATACAATTATAATATCATATTATTATTAGTAGTATTACATTGCATTATGTTATAATATTATAAATATTATATGTATTATACAATATATTATATTATTATTAGAATAGCACAGGAGACTACATTCTACCTCCAGAAGTCTGAGAAAATAGAAAATGGATTATAGTCACAAAATATGGAGTCTTCATCCCATCCAGACTATCATCCTCCATTCCTTATCCTCAATATACTGGAACCTTACTTCTATATTTCAAGGACTCCTAATGCTGTTCTAGTCCAGCTATGAGAATGTTTCTAATGAAGATGTCTGAAATATATATTTAAACAGCAATGGTCCACCTGATCTATGGMRYKCCATAGATCAGGTGGACCATTGCTGTTTAAATATATATTTCAGACATCTTCATTAGAAACATTCTCATAGCTGGACTAGAACAGCATTAGGAGTCCTTGGGTTTGAAACAGGACTGACTTGATTCTATTATTTAAATTCATATCTCTGTTTCATCCTCAGAAGCTCACTTATGGGTGGGTGATTCCCTAAAACCAGCACATTGTGCAGTGGATTCTGCTGCCATACTCAAGCTAGGTAGCCTTACCTTTAGCATAACAGTTGGGATTGACAGAGTGGTTTGCAAAACGGATTTTATTGCCTTTGCGAGTAGCATCCACAACGAAATCTGTCCAGACAGGAAAAGAAGTTAAAGTTTAAACCAACAGCAGTAAACCCTAATACAAAGGCTGGATTAGTTTAGCAAAATGCCCCTTCCAAAACAGATGGGGTTTTTGGATCCTACTGATCCAGATGTTCCCATGAATGTTGCTTCCCCTCCCACTCCATTATTGTGCCACAGAGCCAAATCTGGAGCTCTGTCTTCTCCCAATGAAGGCACTTATTTTTTTACATTATTTACTAATCTATTGCCAGATCTATATTCCCCTGACCCCATCCCATCCTTCATATAGTGTTATATACAATACATCTCTGTCAGTTCTATATTATTACTTATTCTAGTTCCATCCATGACATATAATTGTTGTAACATATTTTCTAATTGTTCATCCAGTATTTCTTGATAATTTGGTAGTCTATTAGTTTTACACACGAAACTAATGAATGGTTTCTATGTATTACCAAATAAATCTTCACTTTATCTTTATGGTAATTTTAGCTTATAAGTTAGCTTTTCCAATAGTGCTTTGGCCCATACTCTATTTAACTAATTGTTTATTGTCAAATTCTCTAATTTTTTCCAAGTTCTGCCTATTTCAAGTCTTGCAACACGTAACACGAGTAATATAAGATTTTATTTACCAAATCCTCATTATTTTCAAATACAGAAATCACTAACGAAGTTCCCCTGAAATGTATTATTTCATCCCAGAATATTCGTATTTTGTGAAATGTTAGCCACATGTGGCTCCAACCCTCTCCTCCACTTTCTCCATCACAATTTAGAAATTCCATTATTCCATTATTAATTTTATTAATTTTATGTAGTTTAAGTGGATAATAATATCATCTCTGCACAATTTTCCAATATTTTCTCTAAGCTGTGCTGAAATTTATTTATTTATTTATTTGCTTATTTCCTATATTTATACCCCACCCTCCTCCCCCCCAAAGGGGGACTCAGGACAGCCTAACAAAAGCATCATGCAATGCTAGCATCATAAAAACAACCACAGTAAAATCAAAAGATTAAATATTAAAACAATTAAAACAATTAATTAAGACACATCCATTAAAATCAAAATCCAAAAACCATGCTCACATTTTCCAGATTGAGTCCCATTCTCTTCCAATTTGAACCCTAGATCCAATTCCCACACTAATCTCAGTCCATTTAATGTTCCCAATTTTGCTTTTTGAATTATCCAATATATGGTTTGATTGCATTTGTCATTGCAAATTGTGATTCAAATGATGTTAGCTCTGCTTGTTTTCCAATTATATTTATCTGAAATGTATTTGTTAGTAATTATCAATGCAGCCACTTACCATTATTGAGGTTGAAGAGGAAGCTGGACATATACTTGTCATACACTTTCCCACGGCGGTCGGCCTCATCTTGGGAGATGAGCTGGATGAAGGAAGGGAAGCAGATGAAAAAGAGTGATCAAAAAGAGACGAATCAAGCAATGAAAGGGCTTAGCGAGGTGGTGAAAGGGGCAGGTACCTCGAGTCAATAAAGACTGGGCCAGAATGGGAAAAGGGAAACCAAGTCCACAACAGGCAACTCTTATAACAATAGGTGAGAGAGGGATGTTACAGAGGAACTTAGACCTCCAAAGCTACACTCTGCCTTCCCAACTCACCTCGCCACAATATTCAGAGATAAACTCATTCTTCTGAACTGCCTCCTTGATGAAGGTTCCCCAACCAGCAACATCGGATGGGGCCAACAACAGGTGCTGTGGGGAGAGAAAGAAAGTGCTTCAGCCTGCACTGCTGAACACTTAGAAAAAGAAAACATATTATAAACCCCTAAGGAGGCGCAGAGTTGGAAGGAAATGGTTTATCCCCCACCACCAACATATAACAGAGTTATAGCAGTTCAGATAAATGTCCGTCATCTATTTTTTTTTCAAATGAGAGGACATAACAGCATACGTTCATGTCTCACATGTATTCAGAAACACCGTGCACAGAATCTTACTTTAAACACTTAAGTAAAGGCTCCCCCGACATTAAGTCTAGTTGGGGAGTGGTGCTCATCTCCATTTCTAAGCCATTGTCCATAGATGCCTCCAAGGTTACATGGCCAGCATGACTGCATGGAGCACTGTATTTTCATTCTCCCTTCACTTTGGCTTCAGTGCTTTCCAATTCGAGACCCAGTTCCCTATAGGATATCTATTTATATATTTACTAGCTCTTTCTCGCTCTCTTTCCTTTCCTCCCTCTTTCCCTTGTTCCTTCCTTTTTTCTTTCCTTCTCTCTTTCCTCCCTCCTCCCCTTTCCTTTACCTTCTTTCCTTTCTTCCTTCTCTACCTCTTTCTTTCCTCCTTTCCTTTGCTCTTTGCTTCCATCCTTCCTTCTCTCTTTCCCACCCTCTTTCTCTCCTTTCTTCTCTCCCTCTTTCCTACCTTCCCTTCTCTACCACTTGCCTGGGCACCGGCAGTAAAGGAGCCTTGCTGCAGCCCTCAGTCTTGCTGGGCAGGGCGTGGGGCAGGCGGGAGGCGCTTTTCGAGGCAGGCCTCGCTCACCCAGCGCTGCCCCTTCTTCTTTCTGCCATGGCTGCGGGGTGCCTTCCCTGTTTGGTGGGTGGGCATGCAGGCAGGGTCGTATGGGAGGCGCCCTGGGGCTGCGGCAGAAAGAAGGGACCAATGTTGGTGAGAAGGCCCACCTTGACAAATGCCTCCCGCCCCTGCTGGGCCCAGAAGGTTGAGGGCTGCAGAACTCCCTTCTCGTCGGTGCCCAGGCAAGGGTTAGGTGAAGCCTGGCAAGCAGCATCCACACGGAGCAGCCACCCGCACACCTCTCCAGGGGGAAAAGAAGGAGGAGAGGTCTGTGTTTGGTGGGGCCGACAAAGAGAGGAAGGAGACTGGGAGGGAGGGAAGGAAGGAAGGAGGGCCCACACATGGAAAGGGACTCCATGGCGAGGCTTCTCTTCCCTCACAACGGTTGATGCTTCATTCTTCTCGCGCAATGGGGAGAGGGGCTTTTGCGCATGCTCTGTAAGGCATTTTTCTTTTTGGGGAGTTTTAAGTTATTTCCCCTTTATTTTTTATGGTTTTTTGTTTGAAAGACATAGATCGGATTATAATGTGTTTTGCTGCCAAATTTGGTGTAATTTTGTCCAGTGGTTTTTGAGTTCTGTTAATCCCACAAACGAACATTACATTTTTATTTATATAGATTTTTCCTTTCAGTGATATAATCTTGGAGCATATCGTCGGCTAAATATTCATACCATTTTTATTTCACATTTTTGTTATTCTTTCTATCCCAACACAAGCGTTGCTTGTGCTGCTCCTATCACAGATTTTATATATATTGTCAATTTTTATTACCTTTCCCTCCATTTTCACGGTAAAAAACAGTTTATTATTTTATTATTTTAGCCCAGATATTTTTTCCATTTCAGTCTTTATTTTCCTATATACTTATGTACCTTGTCACATTCACAAACTTTGTACAGCCTTCAGACTCAAGCGCTCTCCCTGCTTACCCATTGCGTGATACAACCTAATTTTTTTGCACATACCTTCTTGAGACCTCGTTGGATGCTGCAGTTTTTGCACGGGACCACCTTGGAGTCCCAGTGTTCTGCGGCTCCACATGTCAGGCAGAGGTCCGGGTCACATTCACGCACAGCCAGGTAGCAGGGGCATTGCTTGGTGTTACATTGGGTCTTACACCTACAGCCTGGGAATCGGTTTTGACCTTGTTGAAGAAACAGACACACTTTAAAAAGAGGACTGCCTTGAATGTGATTGAGAAAAATAGAACTAACCCACCTAAGGAGGAAGTGCCCTCCCTTGCTAGAAAGCCATATTATAAAGTATGTAAAATCTGGCCCAGTGCCTTGTTCCTTACAGTCAGGATTGCACTGGCAGAACTTTTCGCAGAAATTCTGGGTCATGATGCAAGGGCAAGAGTTGTCACAAGGGTGGTCTGGGTGGTCACAGGGCTGGTAGTTGTACACTTGAGTGGATGAATTGTCTACCAAAAGAGGATGGTGAAAAAACTGTGAGCCAACTATCACGAAAGTTCAGTTCTGCAAAATAGCGCAGGCCACAGACATCAGCAGATGGCAGGCTGCCCCACATGCAAAGGGCCTTGCCAAGCTTTAGCCAGAGCTGGAATGTGGCAGAAAGCAACGCCAGCTTGGATGATTGAAGTGACTCTTTCAAAATACCAGATGTAGGCAATCATGGTTTTTTTCATCTAGGACAGTGTTTCTCAACTTGGGGGTTGAGACCCCTGGGGTGGTCACAAGGGGGTGTCAGAGAGGTCATCAAAGACTATCAGAAAACATAGTATTTTCTGTTGGTCATGGGGGTAGTGTGTGGGAAGTTTGGCGCAATTCTCTCCTTGGTGGAGTTCAGAATGCTCTTTGATTGGAGGTGAACTATAAATCCCAGCAACTACAACTCCCAGAGGTCTATTTTGCCCAAACTCCACCAGTGTTCACATTTAGGCATATTGCACATTCATACCAAGTTTGGTCTAGATCCATCATTGTTTGAGTCCACAATGTTCTCTGGAAATAGGTGAACCACAACTCCCAAACTCAAAGTCACTTCCCACCAGACACTCCCAGTATTTTCTGTTCGTCATGGGAGTTCTGTGTGCCAAGTTTGGTTCAATTTCATCGTTGGTGGAGTTCAGAATACTCTTTGATTGTAGGTGAACTATAAATCCCAGCAACTACAACTCCCAAATGACAAAATAAATCTACCCCAACCGATCAGTACTTAAATTGGCCTTGTTGGGTATTTGCGCCAAATTTCGTCCAGTGAATGAAAATGCATCCTGAATGTCAGTTTTTACATTGGGATTCATAGTTAAAGGTAAAAGTTTTCCCCTGACATTAAGTCCAGTCGTGTCCGACTCTGGGGGTTGGTGCTCATCTCTATTTCTAAGCCGAAGAGCCGTTGTTGTCCATAGACACCTCCGAGATCATGTGGCCAGCATGACTGCATGGAGCGCTGTTACCTACCTGCCAGAGCGGTACCTATTGATCTACTCACATTTGCATGTTTTTGAACTGCTAGGTTAGCAGAAGCTGGGGCTGACAGCGGGAGCTGACGCCGCTCCCCAGATTCGAACCTGCGATCTTTCAATCAACAAGTTCAGCAGCTCAGCACTTAAACCCACTGCACAAAATTACAGTAATGAAGTAGCAATGAAAACAATGTATGGTTGGGGGTCACCACAATATGAGGAACTGTACATGAGGTCATGACATTAGGAAGGTTGAGAAACACTGATCTAGGGTTTTGATTTTTATCATTTAGTACTATGAAAGAATACGTGTTCAGGTTTCAACAGTACTACAGACATCTTGGTTGCATATCAGAAGAATCATTGCATTGTCAGCTGCTTGCAACACCCCAATAGTTTCTTAATAAGTTAGACTAACAGGGCTAGCAGCTGGGAACGGCTAATCTGACACACATGACACTCTACTTCTACTCTCCAGACGGATATGGCCAAAAGGGGAGCCTGGACATTGTGCTGAGAGGACACAGTTTACCTTTTTTAAGCTGGATCTTCCTACAATGAGCAGCCCAGAGCCTTTATTGGAGAGAGGAAGAGAGGAAGAAAATAATGTCTCTGTTTTAATCTTGAAAACACATTCTTGTGAATCCCAAACGTTTGGGAATCTCACTTCTTAGCCCCTTTGCCAGATCCTTCTGACACCAGAAGAGAAATTAGAAAAAAGGGGGACAGCATGGTCAGAAGGAGTAATTTATTCTCACTGAACATTCAGTGAGAGACAGGTAGAGTCACTAAATAAGTGACTGTTAATCCTTTACCTTAAGATGTGCAGAACAGCAGAGTGGAAAACAACCGGGATTGTTTTTGTTTTACGCAGTCATGTCTCACCCCTATGCTACGCTACCCCTAATGTTAAGCCTTATTAAGAGTGATCAGGTTCTGGAGTCAAGACAGGAGAGGAACATGTGTCCTTCCATAGTGTACTTCAAACCCTATCAAACCCATCCAGGACAACTAATGGTAGGGAGTATGGAACTATAGTGTTCCCTCACTGATCGCGGGGGTTCCATTCCACGACCCCCCACAATAAGTGAAAATCCACGAAGTAGGGAAGCCATATTAATTTTAATATTTACACATTATTTTTATATTTTATATATTATTTTCTTACTCGTGCTTCCTTACCCACCTTCCAGCCCATCCCAAGGGTGCCTGCCTGCCTCCCTCTGGAGCCACGCAGGCAGCAGCAGGCCAGGGAGGCAGGCCGCCACACTACCGGGGTCTGTGGAGGCCAGGGAGGCAGGCCTTTCCCATCATGCCTCACGCCGCCACACTTCCGGGGTCTGTGGAGGCCAGAGAGGCAGGCCTTCCCCGCCGCACCTCAGGCCGCCGCACTTCCAGGGTCTATGGAGGCCAGGGAGGCAGGCCTTCCCCGACGCGCCTCAGACTGCCACACTTCCGGGGTCTGTGGAGGCCAGGGAGGCAGGCCTTCCCCACCGCACCTCAGGCCGCCGCACTTCCGCGGTCTTTGGAGGACAGGGAGGCAGCCCTTCCCCGCCGCACCTCAGGCAGCCGCACCTCCATGGTCTGTGGAGGCCAGGGAGGCAGGCCTTCCCCGCCGCACCTAAGGCTGCCACACTTCCGGGATCTGTAGAGGCCAGGGAGGCAGGCCTTCCCCACTGTGCCTCAGGTAGCCGCACTTCTGTGGTCTGTGGAGGCCAGGGAGGCAGGTCTTCCCCACAGTGCCTCAGGCTGCCACACTTCCGGGGTCTGTGGAGGCCAGAGACGCAGGCCTTTCCCACAGTTCCTCAGGCCGCCGCATTTCCGGGGTCCCTGGCCTCCACTGGATGTTAATATTTTATATTAATATTTTCAAAAACCCGCAAAACAGCAAGTCCACTAAAAGCAAATTAAACCACTAAAAGCAAATTAGCAAGGGAACACTGTATTGTAGTCCAACAACATATGACTAATACATTACTTGTGTAATACAACTTCTTATATGCCTCCCACTAGGCATATCCCTCTGGCCACATACCTGTGCTTCCTCTTCTTTTTTTGGGAGGGATTCAAGAGTTCATTGGTTGGCAGCTTTGTTATCAAGGACTCCTTGACTGCAAACTGAAAGACCTGCCAGAAGAGAAATGCACCTCAGAAGAGCTGATCTAAGGCTGAAGAAATGCCCATCATTTGTGAGCCCATCCTCCCAAAAATGAGGGGCCATACCTGCTTGCATGTTTTGGTTCCCAGGAGTCGAGCAATTGAGCAGAAGTTATTGAAGTAAGTCCCATGGAAGACGCGGAAAAGGGACTCTTCAGCCCCTGTCCACTCAACAGGCTCCATGGGCATGTCCGACATAAAGGGCTGTGAAGTGGCGGGGCTCAACTTTGGCTTGGTCGGGGTCTGGCAACGCGAGTTTGCCTCTGGCACAAGAGAAAAAAGGCAAAGATTGGGAAAGCATGCTCTTAAAAAGGTGAGGCCTCACAGTTATGACCTGGGACATGAATCAAATCACATGTGCCTGCTTCCAAAGCTGGCCCTAGTAAAAGGAAGCATTCAGTTAAAGACATTAACTTTGGACTTGAGCCAGAGCGCTGAAAACAGATTTGGGGACTAATAATAATAATAATAATAATAATAATAATAATACTTTATTTATACCCTGCTCCATCTCAACCAGGGAACTCGGGGCAGCTTACATGAGGCCACGCCCATCAATAAAGTATACACAATATAACGCAAAAACATAGTAGCAACAAAAAATTACATAAAATGCAAAACCAACATAATAAACGACACAGCAATATAAAATCAAACATTGAAAACACAGAAGACTTCACTAAGCAAGGCGAAATTGAAGGATAAAATTTTAAAACACTGGGAGATAGGACAAAATAAGCTATAAGGAGGAGGATCCGGCAATGAGGAGGATTTAATTGCACGAACCATAAAATAAAGTGCTTCTAAGGACATTTTGTGCAGAATTTGGTCAGGGAGTATCTTACATTCAATCACTGAAGGCACATTGGAATAGCCAGGTTTTCAGATTCCTCCTGAAGATGGCCAGTGTGGGGGCTTGCCTAATATCTCTGGGGAGTGAGTTCCAGAGCAGGGGGGCCACCACAGAGAAGGCCCTCTCTCTTGTCCCTGCAAGTCGCACTTGCGATGCGGGCGGGAGCGAGAGAAGAGCCTCTCCAGAAGATAGGAGGCATCGTGTGGGTCCGTAGATGGAAATGCGGTTGCACAGGTAGGTGGGTCCCAAACCGTTCAGGGCAGGCATGTAGCCGGGGGGTGGGGGGGGGGGCGGCTGCGAGATGGTGGTCTGCGAGAAGGCCTTACTGGTACATTATTTAAACTGTTATGTTTATTCATATCATGATCTGATCACCATGCTCAATATATCCCATATGCATGGGGGTATTGGGGTAACGATACAAAAGGTTTGCTAGGGCAGACCCTCTTTCACTCAGACTCAGCCCCCCCGAACCAAACTCAGCCCCCCCCCCCCCCCGAAACAAAATCCTGGCTACGGGCCTGGTTCAGGGCTTTGTAGGTCAAGACCTGCACCTTGAATTGGGCCCGGAAAATAAACAGCAGCCAATGGAGCTCCTTAAACAGGAGAGTTTGCCACTCTCTGTAATTCGCACCAGTTAATAATCTGGCTGCCACCCGTTGGACCAATTGGAATTTCCGGGCTGTCTTCAAGGCACAATGCTCTGGCACAATGAAGCTATGGATAAACATGGTGAAAAAGCAGACAGGTTTTCTATGGACCTGCCAACTTGTCAACTTATGAAAGCACAGGTATTTTCCAAGTGGAAGCTGGTTTCTTTGCTTCCCACAAGGCAATGGGACACACAGTTTCACATACCGGAAGAACTAGAGGCCCAGTCATTGCCTGTATCTTTGTCACTGTCCCCTTCTTTTGTTTCGTTGCTCGTGGAAGCTGATGCATTAGAGGAGGAGGAGGGGGCATTGAGTGGGGGGTGTTTGCGTCGACGTCGTCCAGAGCACTTTGATCGTGGGTTGTGTAGTATAGCAAATTCCTTGGCTCCCTCCTATAATTAAAAGACAGTTAAAAATACACACAGAAACAGGATCCACCAGACAGACAACTGGATGAAAACAAAAACCAATACAAGAAGAATAATGGAAGAATGGAAGCAGGCAGCTTTGGGTCACTGAGAACGGAAATTACCTTCACAACTGTCTGCTTCTTAGAGCTAATATTCTACTTTTCTACAGATTTTTACCACCTATCTTTCCAAAGTAGGACACCACAACAAATCTGGTAAGTGTTGAAGGTGCTGAGCAAGTCTTTTAATGGCTTGTTTTTTTGTTCTTATAGCATTAATGGGGCACTAATCCCTCTGGAATATTTCTAAATATTCTGAGCATGATGGATCTCAATCCAAACAGCCTGTAAGTGCCCTGGCTACATAACTCTCTACTAACTTACCAACCACAAAAAGCAGTCTGGCCCACAGGGTTCCATTTCAATCTTAGTCTCTCTGTTTTTCCGCTTGTAAACATTGGGCGTAGCATGGAAGGCTAAAAAACAGGAAAGTTTTTGTTGTTGTTGTTAGAATAAGAAAATTGTTACAACAACTTAAGGTTCTGTTCCTAAATATAAGCTTCCCTCCCATTTTCTGAAGAACACCCCTCAAACTACCAAAGCAACAGATGTTTCTACTACTGCAACTCTGTTAAAATGGATAACCACACCCAGGTTTAAACAAGCTTTGATCTACAAGGATTGAATGAAAAACAATGCCTCCACCTTTGTAACTCCTCAACAGAGGGCAGTACTAGTATGCGGCAGGTACTGGTTTGTTCAGTAGACTCTCCTCTGCAGTTCCATTTTGGCGGGAAGCCTTAGCATTGCACGGTTGTGTTGTTAAAGTGAGAAGTATGGAACCCTGTGCAGACCATCAATGTGACTTAAGCAATGTGCAGTCATTGAATTCTTGACAGCAGAAGGTGTCATCCCAAAGGAGATTCATCAGAGAATGCAAGCTGTTTATGGTGATTGTGTTGATGTGAGTACTGTGCGTCGTTGGGCGAGTTAGTTTAAAGATGTTGAGGTGGGAACACCTAACCTGAGACTACTGCAACCCTAACCCAATTACCGACAAAGACCAAACTTGGCACACTGAGTCTCCATGACGCACTCTACATCCTGCTGCGGGTTGGAGGAGGATGCACCATGGATGATGGGACTTGCAATACATGCACTCCCTTTCTTCCTGAGACCATTACAACTGCTAACAATGATGGATCTGGATCACCATTCCCACAGAGCCTGCATGACCCACTCTACATCCTGGTGCAGTTTGGAAAAATTTGGAGATGGATGATGGGACTTGCAGTAACTTCACTCACTTCCTGAGACCACTGAGACCCTCGCTAATGACTGATCAAGACCAAACTTGGCATACAGAGCCCCCATGACCCACCCTACATCCCGGTGCTGTTTGAAGGAGGATGGATGATGGATGATGGGACTTGCAGTACCTTCACTCACTTCCTGAAACCACAGCGACACTCATCCAAATACCAATGAAGACCAAACTTGGCACAGAGAGCCCCCTTGGCCAACTCAACATTCTGGTGAGGTTTGAGGGAGAACAGACAACGGATGATGGGACTTCAAGTACCTCCACTCACTTCCAAAGGCTGTTGTGACCCTCATCTAATGACCAATCAAGACCAAACTTGGCACACAGAGCCCCTATGATGACCCACTCTCCATCCAGGTGCATTTTGGAGGAGGATGGACCACAGATGATGGGACTCGCAGTACCTTCACTAACTTCCTGAGATCACTGTGAGCCATATAAATAACTGATAAAGACCAACCTTGAGACACAATTCCTTTCTCAAATAACCCGGGCAGCGCCGGGTCCCCAAGCTAGTAAATAAATAAATATGTTGAGCAGTCTTTACAATGGACTCTGCAGAAGATGCTTCAGCTGTACTTCACAAAAAGGAAAATCAGCCTGTTTAACGAGCCTTGCAAATGCTGATTTATTATCAGTAAATGCTTAGTTTTTATACGTGAACATTTTTCAGGCAGGTTTATGAATAGAAAAGTTTAAGAAGCCCTGTACTAGACAACAGCTACCTGATCAGACAATATTTGCATAGGTCTTTAAGGAATGTTTTCCATGAACAGACAACACAAACAGGCTGCGGTTTTGCCCAACGTCCCCTTATAAGCTGGAATCATATTGAGAACTTACGGTGTAGGAAGCAGTCATACTTGAAGCAACGCTTGCAAAAAAGCGTGTGGAAGGAGTGTAGGGCCTGCTCACGCTGAACAGATTTGGCAAATGGTCCATCAATGTTTGGTGTGCATTCAGGAGGGAGCACATTTGGATCGGATTCTTCTGTCAGCTCCCTATATCTGTGGGGAGCCAAGATGTAAGTAAGATATAAGATGTAAGTCACACAGTGGCTTTTGAATTCAGGCTGATCACTGAGAAGACAGTTCAGAATCAGACAGGTGAACAACTTTTATACGGTGTCTATACTTGGAATAAAAGCCATCATGGTGTGTGAGAGCATGTACAAATATGTGCATTTGTGTTTTTTTAAAATTGTTTTTATTGAAAATAAAATTAACTCTAATAGACTGGAGTGTGAGCAGAGTTTAAAAAATGTTTACAGTGAAAGTGTGGGAATAAATTATGTAAGGACAGTAGGAAAAGTGGGGTAGGGTTGGAGAAGGGGGGGGGGGAAACCAAACAAACCAACAACAACAAAAAACCAAAAAAGAAAATAAGGAAAAAAAGAAGGTTTTCCCAGGTTGTGTTATCAATTCTTTTCCTTCCTTTTTTATTTCTTAGCATTAAAGTTTCTTTATATTTTTGATCTTTGAGATTTCTTATGTCTCTTGAAAATAAATTTCTGTGTTGTCTTCTCTAATAAATTCTGTGAATTTTTCCCAATTTGTTTTTTTGTCTTATTGTGCTATTATCTGTTAGTCTTTGTGTAAGTAGATCCATATTCATTATATCCCATACTTTCAATAGCCAGTTTTCAATAGTTGGCATTACGTTTGTTTGTGCTAATTTAATCCTGGCTGCCGTTATAAGGTAGATAAAGGTTCTGTTTGTATTTATTTCCATTTCAAAATCCATTATTCCTAATAGGAAATATTCTGGTTTAAGATCAAATTTTATCTGAAGAATATGTTGGTGTTTTTTTAAATATATACAGAGATAGAGGTTGTTTCCTGGGCTACAGGTTAAAAGCAGGGAGGGTGCACTCAAGTGAAAAGGAACTGCCTAGGAATGAAACTGTACACTTTTCACGGGAGTACTAGGAATCTGAACAAACTTAATCACAATGAGAAATTGTGGAATCACAGTATCAGAATAGGCAGACTCCAAGAGGTCATCAATTCCAACCTTCTGCTATGAGCCACAACTACTGGGTGTTCAACACAGATGTATGGCAAAAAGTTGTTTGCAGAGCGTGTTGCCCAAGATGAAACAATAAAAAGCCAAAGTTCATATATAAGGGAAATACCATCATGACATAAGGAGCACCAACCTTCTTATGGAAGAAACCTGCATGCAAACTGATTAACCTGTGTGTACCTATTGTCGAAAGCAATGTCCAAAATTAGCTAATCAACTAGCATATTCTGGCTTCAGAGCCTCAGAATGTATAGCCCAGATTATGTTGCCTAACATTAGGAAATCAATAAGTTTTGTGGTAGATAATCCTCACCTCTCTTTCATATCATCTGGAAAGCCATTCTCAGGGAACATGGATGAAAGTGCAGTAAAGATCATGTCATTTGGAAAGTGCTTCTTGGAACATTTCTTGTTGCCTGTATTAAATTAAAAAAGGAAAATAAGATGGAAATTTCTTCAAATTACTCTACTTAATTCTCTTCTCTGAATTAGTGGGATTGTTCTAGAACCGTGGTCCTCAAACTGTGCACCCTGGCACCCCAAAAAGTTTAGTGCCATTGAGACATTTTTAAAAAATTTCACTTCCTGAAAGCAGCCAGACCAAGAGACAAGCTTCATGGTGGTGGCTTGCTTACAGCCGCTTTTTCAGCAGTATCTCCTGTTCCCAGGCTCAGTGTAGCTGGAATGGTAGCAACACAGAGACTCTGCATTTCAGCTAAAGGGAAATGTGTGAATGTCCTGCACCCGTAGTGAAGGGAAGTACCGACTGTGAAAAGGAGCAATGGTTAAACTGCAGCAATTATAAAATTCTAAAGTCTGTGGAAGAGGAAACCTTATCTTCAACAAAGGGAGCTTGGGAGTAGTGATGGTAAAGCTCAATTTCTTTTTTCTTTTTTAAAAGAAATTTTATTAAATTATACATGTACATAAAAAGGAAAAGAAGAGAAAAAAATATATATCAACTTTGGTTTAAGTTTACAAAGAAAGTGGGAGAACATTGAGTTATAGGATAGTAGGAAATTTAAGAGATCAATAAAAAATAAAAATAAAAAAGAGAAAAAAATAAAAATATTGTTTGACTTTCATTCTATGTTTTCGCCTATAATATATATCAGCTTATTTAGTTTGAATTTGTCTCTTCTCATTCCCCTCTGAGGACTCCTTTTCACTCATATGCCTAAAAAGGGGCAATGAAAAATATTTCAAATAAACATCCCAGAGGATAGTCTTATCACTTGTTTGTCCTATTGACTCTTCTCATTTAAGTAATTTTCGAATGATGACCAATTTGTCCCTTTTATTGGTTTTCCCGAGCTTTTCTTAAAAATAAGGTTAGCTTGTCCATATCTTTGATCTCTTGCAACTTATTTATCCAGTCCTCTGTTTCTGGAATTTTATCCATTTTCCAAATTTTTGCATATGATATCCTTGCTGCCGTTGAAATATAGGTAAATAGCTCAATTTCTAGGCTTCCTCTTCTACCTTCTCCACACTAATCCATTTATGCAGAAGTACTCGTAGGGGAGCAACATTCCATTCCACAAATGTTAGTTTTAGGATTAGCACCCAGACATAAGGGTTTTCAATACACTCATCTGGGAGATCCCTATGTGGTACAGGCTGATCAGGGAGGGATATCCCAGATGAGGTGTATTGCATCCCATCTATTTTGGAATTTTTGTTCCTAGGTTATAAATGTCATTTCCTAATTGGGGCTACGATAGAAAACAGGAAAAGTTTATTAAACTGCAAAAACTTTGTTTTTTACAGGACATCCTGCAGCACATTTTACTATAATTTTTCAATGAATATCTCATAGAGTCTCAACCAATTCAACAGAGTTTGTGGCAGACACAAAAACTTTGTTTTTGTGGGACATCCTTCCGCATGTTTTGCTATTATAGAGTCACAACCAATTCAATGTAGTTTGTGGCAGCCACAAAAAATAAATTTCTGGAGTATAACAACTACTTTCAAAGTAAATACCTCACAATTAAATAGGAAATAACACTTTCAAACCAGGAACATATTTTTTTTCAAATTTTGTTAGTGATTGGGGTTAACATCCAGATATTAATACACTGATTTGTATGGTCTAATCTGGAAGAAAGAGGAAGGGGTGGTGTTCCACTGCAGTAATTTTAGGGTTTGTAAACTGTTCTTCAGTTCTAAGTCTGGGAGGAAGGAGGGATATACTGTAAATGCTAGTGTATAAATTGGCTTCCTATATAAGTTGAAGGCAGGTTTTCAGGCTATAATTGTGGACTTTGATATAACCCATGAATAAATAAAGGGACATTTCTCAGAGAGGGGAAAGCGCAATGCTTCATTGGAGGTGGGGGCAGGGGTCTTATTTCTCTCCCTAAGCTTTCAAAAAGGCAGAATTGGAAAAGATACTGAAACAATAAGGGAACCTTGAACCAGGATTTGGGAACCCGTCCTCTAGAGGACAATATGTAGTAGCTGTTCAAAGTAAATATATGACAATAAACCACCTTCTATGACAGAAGAATGTCAATGGCGTCTACAAAGGAAAGCCCAAAAGGTTCCTTCTATAAATTCCCCTGTAAGAATTAAGAAGTATACTATGTGGGTATATTAGGTGGGCAAGACTTCAAGTATCAATGGACAGTTAGTCACATCCTCATTTCCTAAACCTAAATGCAAACCGAAATGTATTTCGGCTGTTTATTCCACAATTTCTGTACATGGAAAAGGAACACGTTCAAAATCTTATACACAAAAATATTTATGTCTGAACTTTGCATGGCAAATATTTCCAAAAACCTGTTCAATGGGGAAATGACTGAATAGAATTATAGCAAAATATACTACTATGATTACCATCCTTTTCATTCCCAGAGCAATGGCACTATCACAAGTGAAATGTTTTTACAAAACCACTTGACTACAATGGCTTCCTTGTCCAGATATTTCAGATAAGATATATGAAAAAGTAGATGGAAAGATGAGGCAATGAAAAGGTTGTGCACCTAAATAAATATATTCTCCAGTCGGTACAGTAAGCTCTGTGTTGTCAAAGGCTTTCATGGCCGGAATCACTGTGTTGCTGTGAATTTTCCAGGCTATATGGCCATGCTCCAGAAGCATTCCCTCCTGTCATTTCACCCACATCTATAGCAGGCATCCTCAGAGGTTGTGAAGTCTTTTGGAAACTAGGCAAGTGAGGTTTATGGATCTGTGGAATGTCCAGGGTGGCTGAAAGAACTCTTATCCGCTTGAAGCAAGTGTGAATTTTGCAATTGGCCACCTTGATTAGCATTTATTTATTTACTACATTTATATGCCGCCTCTCTCAGCCCGCAGGCAACTCAGGGCGGTTTAGAGTCAGTATCAAAGACATAAAAATGCAATTGAAAACAGTTAATTTAAGTACAAAACCAAGTAAAATGGCCTTGCAGCTCCAAAGCCTGGCTGGTTGCTGCCTGGAGGAATTCTTTGTTGCGAGGTGTTAGCTGGCCCAGACTGGAATACCCGTTTTTTGAGTGTTGCTATTTACTGTCCTGATTTTAGAGCTTACAGTAAGCTCTGCTTTTTAAAAATATATATGGTGGGAAAGGATATGATCCCGCTCTCCAAATTCCTAAGGTACATAAACATGCGACTTACAGGGAGTGGTCAACCCCCCGTTTAAGGAGCTCCATTGGCTGCCGTTCATCTTCCAGTCCCAATTCAAGGTGCAGTTTCTTACCTACAAAGCCCTGAATGGTTTGGGACCCGCCTACCTGTGCGACCGCATTTCTGTGTACGAACTCACACGATCTCTTCAATCATCTGGAGAGGACCTGCTCGCGCTCCCGCCTCCCTCGCAGGTGCGACTGGTGAAGACGAGGGAGAGGGCCTTCTCAGTGGTGGCCCCTCGACTCTGGAACTCGCTTCCAGAGGATATCAGGCATGCCCCAACATTGGCAGTCTTTAGAAAGAGCCTGAAAATGTGTCTTTTCCAGTGTGCCTTCCCGGAATAAAGAAATAATTCCCAGCAGAATAGTTCAGAATGCACTTGAACTATTTGATTGCGTTGGACTGCGCCCCTCCCTTTGTTAAAACCTTCCTACCATATCTTACGTTGTTCATACCTAACGTTTATTTTTAAATTTTTAAACTATTGCATTTGGCCTGGCCATAGATTTTAAATCCTTGTGTGTTATTGTTATATGTGATTTATATTAATTTGTATTGTATTGTATTGTTTATTGCTTTCTTGTTTTATTGATGTGTTGTTGGGGTTGGCCTCATCTACTCAAGTCCCTTGGCGGGGTATAAATAAAGTATTATTATTATTATTATTATTATTATTATTATTATTATTATTATTATAAACCTGGAGTTGAAGTTTAGCCTCTTTGCTTGGGTATATATGCCATCTTGTATAAGGTAGGAGCAGAAGAGACATGAGACATGGGGTGTTGAAAGTTACAAAGTTTCATGACTGACAGGCAAGACTTACTTTCCACCGAAAGCCGCTTCCTCTTGCGGGTGATGGGCAGCTCCTCCTTCCCAGTTTCCTGTTTGCCTTCAACACCATCGAGCCCATCTTCTTCTTCCTCAGAGTATTGATTCAGTGCTTCTACCAACTCCAGGAACACAGCATCACTGATCAGGACAGAACCCGAGAGCATTTCTGGAAGGAATAATTGGCTGAATGATTTTAGGAGGATAACCCCACTCAATTGGATCAGTGGGGGGAAATATCAACATCACTGATCAGGACAGAATTCAAGAGCAGCTGTGGAAGGAAGAAGTGGCCGAATTGGTAAGACCACCTCACTTAATGGGGAGTGATCAGCTTCAGTAAGAAATGCAGGTTTTATATCATGGATTTGAGTGCCATCACACAAACCAAATGACATTAAAATCTATATAATGAAATTGTGAAAATCCCAAAATGAAGGGCTAAGGATGCAGCAATTCCTTCACACATTCTCCTCCACTTCTCCCAATATATCTATATAAAAACCTGGGTACCTTCCTCTCCATGGACTTTGCCATCATAGTTGTTAATGAGTTCCTCAATGAAAGTTTCATCTTCCTCTTTCACCTCGTCGCCCATGTAAGGGATGTTGCACAGAACAGTTTCATCCTCGACCTGAAAATGGGGCAGACAGATCCTGAGGGAGGAAAGCAGTTGTCTCTTGTCCACTCATCTGGAGGGACTGCAAATGGCAGATTGCACAGCTGCCCTCACAAAATGCCACAGGGACTTTTTATCTCCTCAGTCTACTGTTCTCCAGATATAATGGACTACAACTCCCTTCATCGTTACCCAGCATGGCTACTGATGGGAGTTGTAGTCCAACACCACCTGATAGGTACTGTGCTGGGTGGAATAGATGGATTTTTATTTTGCCCAGCATTGTGGAATAGGCAATTCTTATCAGTATAGGACAGTTTCTCCAATACAGTTGGCCCTCCGTATCCATGAATTCTACATCGATGGATTCAGTAATCCAGATTTGTAAATAAATAAATGATTGAAATTTTGATGATGATAATAATAATAATAATAATAATAAACTTTATTTATATACCGCTCCATCTCCCCGAGGGGACTCAAGAGCGGTTCCCAGGTAAAAATCACAGAACATACAAAGTAAAAACAACATAACCATAAGATTAACAAAACAAAATACGCATAAAAATTGTCGCCATAACACACATATATTAAAAGTAATCTTGCCTGTTCAAGGCAATTTAAAAAATTTAAAAGGCCGGGCCAAGATTTGTGCAAGCCCAAAAATTCGAGGTGGCCCGGGAATTAAATACAATGCTATGGCAGGCAACAATAATATTAGGTACAGGTCTGTGGCTGACTAGAGGAAATGATCTGGGTAATTGGTAGGAAGAATAAGGCTGTATTTGACAATGTGTAGGGCTGAGGTAGAACTGGCCATTTTCAAAGGCTTGTTGAAACCACCAGGTCTTCAAGCGCTTACAAAAGGAGGGGAGGGATGGGGCCTGTCTTATTTCCCTTGGAAGGGTGTTCCAGAGGCGGGGGGCCACAACTGAGAAGGCCCTCTATCTTGTCCCCACCAACCGCGCTTGAGACGGTAGTGGGACCGAGAGGAGGGGTTTATAGGTCATGACCTGCACCTTGAATTTGGCTCGGCAACTTATTGGCAGCCAATGAAGAAGTGAGGAGCGTGCTTTTGCTGTTGAGGCCTACTTTTCGAGCGGATTTGGTGTGGCCAGCCCGCTCTCCAGATTTGGCCCCTTATGATTTTTTTCTATGGGTTTTTTTTTGTTTTGAAATCCCGTGTTTATGTGAACCGTCCAAGGACCCTACAAGATTTGAAGACCAACATCCAGGAAGAAATTGCCAACATAACGCCTGCTATGCTGGCAAGAGTCATGACAAATGCCAGAAATCGGTTTACTCAGTGTATGGAGAATGGGGGACGTCACCTACCTAATTTGATCTTCAAAACTACTTAAAACAAAACTTTAGGTATGCGCCTACATTATAAAAAAATAAAAATTTCTGATTCATACAATGGGTTTTATTAAGTTTTGAAAAAAGGAAGTTATGCTGCCTCACCCTGTAGAAGCATACCATAGAATCACCTGGAGGAGCTAGAAAATCCCTGGAGTGGACATATTTTGTCAGATGTGGGTAGATGTAACCACAAATATGGGGATCATAGTCTACTCAAATAAATGTTTGAGCAATATCCACGCAGACCCTCTGTGGAATCCCCAACAAAATACAAAACTCTGAGACCCAGATTCAAAGGAAGAGGTTAAAATTCAAGCTGTTATTTGGGAGTGCAACTGGTCACCTACCATGAAATTCTGCTGGAGTGGGGACCAGGAGTACATGATGGGCACCAGAGCTACGGTATTTAGGGTCCTCATGAACAGTGTCTGTGTATTCCAGTTGGGAAAGGTGCTCTCAACTGTGCACTGGAGGAAGGAGAAAAGTTTGTAAGAAATGATGGATCCACCCACTCGCCCTCCAAAACAGGACTGCTTCTGCAAATCATTATGGTCATTTTATTACATTTTCCAAAGTGGACAAAAGTAATGTATGTCAGTTATCATGCCATGGGGCCATTTCCTCAGGGAGGCATTATGAAGCCCGTTTATTAAATGATATTACATCAGCTGCTCAATTACATTGCTTCAGCGCTACAGAAAAAGCATTTGTTCTTACTTTTCGAGGCCTGAGCAGTTTAGGATCAGGACAATCATCACAAATATATATAAGAGACACTGCCCCAAGCTTCTCCATCCAGTGATGTGAAGGGGGTAGGGACATTTGTTCGTGCTACACAGATTTTGGGATTTTCTGAACACAAGATCCACCTACCTTACTTCTCCGCATGCATTCAGCCCACCAAAAGGATTAAACTTACTGGTTTTCAAGCTCTCACCCCTAATCAAAGTAGTGGGCTGTGGTCAGTACCCAATGCAAGACACTCTTAACATGGCCAGACCTTCTAATTTGTATTACCTGAAGGATTTCAGGTTTTAATATTGCTATAAACTATTATTCTATCCGAATCTGTGAGCTAGGTGAAATTCCTGACCTACTTTGGCAGGATAGGACATCCAATGCTCACCCTGGGAATCTGCTACTGATTGCATCAGCTCCAAAAAATACCCCCCCAAAGAAAACCCAAACAAAAACAAGAAACAAAACAACCCCCCCCAAAAAAAAACCCAAAAAAGAGAGCAAAACTGACAAAAAAAAGAAAACAAAAGCAGAAGTGCTCAGACATACTTCTAATTTTGATTTTCTAAGTTAAGGGGAGGCACTGTGCCTTCTTAAATGCAAACACTGCCATTTTTAAGAATTTATTTATTTATTTGCAGTATTTCTATATTGCCCTTCTCAACCCCGAAGGGGACTCAGGGTGGTTCACAGTTTTGTCAACAGTTCAATGCCATCGATAAAAATAGTATAAAACATCAAAATTGAAAAGACAATTCTAGGTTCTTGTAGGCTTTTTCGGGCTATAGGGCCATGTTCTAGAGGCATTTCTCCTGACGTTTCGCCTGCATCTATGGCAAGCATCCTCAGAGGTAGTGAGGACCTCACTACCTCTGAGGATGCTTGCCATAGATGCAGGCGAAACGTCAGGAGAAATGCCTCTAGAACATGGCCCTATAGCCCGAAAAAGCCTACAAGAACCTAGTGATTCCAGCCATGAAAGCCTTTGACAAGACAATTCTGTTTCCCTTTCATATTTTTTGGTGTGGCAGCAGGGCATCATTGGGCCTGGAATCTACAAAATGACCTTGCCTTCTACATACGGTCCACAGACCACACAGTTCCCCCTCTTCTTTAATGAGAACAGAGGGACTAAAGAAAACACAAGGAAATAGTAATTCATATACACAATGGGACTACTATGGCGAGAGGAAGCTGCAGCCATGAATGAAGGGCACATGCCAGGAGATGAAAGCTCTGGCTGTGTACAGGGAAGTCCTTCTGTTAATTCATGCTGTTGCTGCTTGCTAGACTGTTAGAAAGTGAAATCGTGCTCCTGACTTCAGAGAATATTCATTGTTTTAAAAATAATCTTCTGCATGTGTTTATCTATATCACTGGTTGTCATGTATAGGGACTAAAAAACTATGGTGGGGGTGAGTGACGAAATAAAATCTATATAAATAAAAATGTAATGTTCGTTTGTGGGATTAATATACAGTATATTCTGGCATATAAGACTACTTTTTAACCCAAGAAAATCTTCTCAAAAGTCAGGGGTCGTCTTATACGTGGGTGTAGTTTTATGCATGGGAGTCGTCTTAACTCTATATTTTAACTGGAAAAGTTGGGGGTCGTCTTATACGCCCAGTCGTCTTATATGCCGGAATATACGGTAACTCAAAAACCACTGGATGAATTGACACCAAATTTGGATCCAATACACCTATCAGGCCAACAAGCGACCATCACTCATAAAAACCCTGAAAGACACAGGGGAAGAGACTTAAAAAGCCTCTTAAAAACACATGCGCATAACCCCCCCCCCCATATATATATACACACACAAACACTTATATATACACAAAAACACAAATATATACACACACAAAGCACATATACCCATACTGGGCCAACACATGGCAGGGGACAGCAAGTGCAAAATCTATATAAATAAAAATGTAATGTTCGTTTGTGGGATTAACAGAACTCAAAAACCACTGGACGAATTGACACCAAATTTGGACACAAGACACCTAACAACCCAATGTATGTTCTTCACTCAAAAGAAAATGATTTTGTCATTTGGGAGCTGTAGTTGCTGGGATTTATAGTTCACCTACAATCAAAGAGCATTCTGAACCCCACCAACAATGGAATTGAACCAAACTTGGCACACAGAACTCCCATGACCAACAGAAAATACTGGAAGGGTTTGGCGGGCAGTGTCCTTTGGTTTTGGAGTTGTAGTTCACCTACATCCAGAGATCACTGTGGACTCAAACAATGATGGATCTGGACCAAACTCTTCACAAATACTCAATATGCTCTAATGTGAACACTGGTGGAGTTTGGGGAAAATAGAATCTTGACATTTAGGAGTTGTATTTGCTGGGATTTACAGTTCACCTACAATCACAGAGCATTCTCAACCCCACCTATGATAGAAATGGGCCAAACCTCCCACAGAGAACCCCCATGAGCCACAGCAACGCGTGGCAGGGGACAGCTAGTAAACATAAATATTCAATGCCGTATCTGAATTTTCCCCTGCAGTTGTAAAAAAAATGCAGAATTTCAGTGGGAGAGTTTTTTATATATCTGACACAAATAATACCACAAATTCTACAACCCCTTTCCAACTAATGTCAAGAGTGCCCACCTCAACACAGCAACATGCTGCATGGAAGCCTAGAAGAGTAAACAATGTGGAAAACTAGGAGTATCTTATTCTTGCGTGTGACTCCAATTTATAGGAAAGGATCATAGAGTATCCTATGACACAATGTTGTGCTAGAAAACAGATGTATCCAGAGGCCAATAGATCACCTCCTTCGCATACCTGTTTGAGAAAAGGGTGCCCACCAACTAGTTTCATTGATTGAATAGGTTGAACTCTCAGCTTCTTCCAATCCTCGTTCAGGATGTCTAGCTTTTCTTGAACCTTTGCGTAGTTAGACGCGAACAAAGCCTGGGAGGCAAAACGGAAAAGAGAAGCAGTTTGGACTACCAACCTCAAAACTCTTAAGTCCCCTTTTCGCTTTCAAGCATATTCCATGAACTCAGCAAAGAAAAAATGTTCCCAAATCTGAGAAAGGAATATTAATATCTCTCTGTAATCCTGAAGGCAGATTTTCAAATGCTATTTTTGTGCTATATATACTATGATCCATGTTTACGATATCAAACAATGAAGCCAAATGCTTGCCTCTTCATCAGAAGTTGTATGTGTTGTGGCTGAGTTGCCTCGGGCAACTGGAGATCCATAATGTGGAGGAAGAAAGCACAAAGAGCTCCTTCACTATTCCCCTGTAATTGAGACTAAAACTCTCCATTCTGATCTGTTTCCCCTAAACTAGTTTGTAACAGGTCTCTATCTTGTATTGCTCCTCAGGTCAGAAAATATCTTGAAGCTATTTTCTTCTAGCTGGTTTATCTCAATGTTTATTTGAATCACTGACACTTAGGCATGAAACAGGGGGAGGGATAGTCTAGAGCAGGGATCCCCAAACTTAGGCCTGTGGGCCAAATGCTGCCCGTCAAGGTCGCTTACCTGACCTCCACCCTAAACTTTAGACTTAGGGTTGGCCTTGGTCTGAAACAACTTGAAAGCACACAATAACAATCTAATTAATTTGACTATTTCATCAGCCAAAAGCAGACACCCATTTTCCACTGAAATACTGGTAAGTTTATGTACTGTATTTTCCGGCATACAAGGCGACCGGTATAAGACGACCCCCCAACTTTTCAACACAAAATACAGAGTTAGGGATATATTTGCCGTTTAAGATGACTCCACATTACATGGAGACTGGCTGGGGGGTGATGGCCTGCTGGACTGTCCCTGCGGCCCCCGCCGCTCTACCCACTCTACTTTCAAGGCCCTCCTCTACCCCACCACTCACCTCCTCTAAAGCCCCTAGGCTTGCTCTAGGCCCAAGGAAGTGCCTCTGGAAGATGACTCCCTGGGATGTGCTCGCTGAGGCATTCAGAGCCGTAGGAGCCAGGGAACTACGGCTCCCAGAATTCTTGTGAGCACATCCCAGGCATGCTGCTGCTGGGGCTGCAGGGAGTCATCGTCTGAAGGCGCTTCCTCATGCCTCCGGACGGTGACTCCCAGCAGCCCTGGGCAGTGGCGTGCCTGGGATGTGCTCGCTGAAGCATTCTGAGAGCCGTAGGAGTCAGGGAACTATGGCTCCCAGAATGCCTCAGCGAGTACATCCCAGGCATGCTGCTGCCGGGGCTGTAGGGAGCCATCATCTGAAAGCCATAGGAGTCGCCAGGGCTGCTGGGAGGCCTTCAGGCGACTCCCTGCAGCCTGGGCAGCAGCGTGCCTGGGATGTGCTCACTGAGGCATTCTGGGAGCTGTAGTTCCCCAACTCCTACGGCTCTCAGAATGTCTCAACAAGCACATCCTAGGCATGTTGCCGCCTGGGGCTGCTGGGAGTCGTCGTCCAGAGGTGCAAGGAAGCGCCTTTGGACGATGACTCCCTGCAGCCCCGGCAGCAGCATGCCTGGGATGTGCTTGCTGAGGCATTCTGAGAGCCATAAGAGTCAGGGCACTATGGCTCCCAGAATGCCTCAGCAAGCACATCCCAGGCATGCCGCCGGCGGGGCTGCTGGGAGTCATCCAAAGGCGCTTCCTTGGGCTTAGATGAGCCCAGTGGCCTTCGAAGCAGGTGAGTGTCAGGGGGCAGTGAAGGGCCATGAGAGTAGAGAAGAGAGAGTGGCGAGGGCTGCAGGGACAGCCCAGCAGGCAATACGGCCTGCCGCTCCTCCCCCCAGTGCCCTCCCTCCACCCTCCCTCCTAAGGTAGTTGTATTTTATTTTTTTCTTTTAATTATTATTATTTTAATTTTATACCTGGCGTACTAGACAACCCCTGACTTTTCATAAGATTTTCCAGCCCTAAAAAGTCGTCTAGTATGCCAGAAAATATGGTAGGCTAAAATCTTTCATTTTAAAAATTGTATTGTTCTTTCATTATTTTTTGCACTAAAAATAATATGTGCAGTGTTCATAGGAATTTGTTCATGTTTTTTTCAAAATAAACCCCCCCCCCCCCTCCCACCCAACCAGCCCTCAGCTTTAAACGTTTTGAGGACCTCTCCCTGTTCTGGAGGTTATCCAAAATTATTTACCTTCTTCTTTTCCTCGAGGATAGAAAGTCAACTGCAAAGTAGAAATTTAATGTACTCACAACCCATCTGTCCATCCCTTAGAGGGAATATTTCTATCCATAATCAGCTATATTTTACCTTGGCTCCCATGTTTGCTTGAAGTCTCTTGAGCTGCCTAAGGCGCATGTATTCTGACTTGACTTTTCTTTTCCAGTAATAGATACATTTTGATGTTGGTGGGGCTGGAATTTCTACTTTTCTGGAGAGAAAAAAGACGAAGAGCTATATGAACAGAAGTAGAAGGACTTTAATCAAGCTGTGTGAAGTCAGCTTAAGAGGAAATAGCTTCCTGAAGAAACTATATTTTCTGCCTTGTATGACTTCTGAAAGTTAGTTTATTTGGGTTTTTTTTTATTAAACTGAATACAGAAGAGAGAAAAGAAATAGTCCTTTCTCTGTATTCACAGCTTCTGCATCCATGGATTCAACCAAAAATGCCAGAAAAATATTTCTTGAAAAAAGATGACAAAAGCAAACCTTGAATTTGCTGAATGCAATCACTACATCATTTAGAAATACTCCACTAGAGCATTCTACTATTTCAGGTCTTCAGCCACTTTCCAGCACTTGCTTAGAGATGTTTGCTGTTTTAAACAAGTGACAGGATTGAACTATGCTGTGATATTTAATGGAACTTGAGCATTTAAAGATTTTGGTACCCAGGTGGGATACCGGAACTAAACCCCAGCAGATACCAAGAAATGAATGTATCCTGAAACCTTGAGAATTATTTTGTTCATATTTTGTTCAGTGTCACCTTTCTTTTTCAGTCATTGTTCCCACATTTAAGCTTCTTATGAAATAAAGGGTTTTTTTTTCCCCTTTTGGTATTAGTACAGTGAAGTCAAGAAAGTTTTCTTTTTCTTTTTGTATTGGCACAGTGAAGTTGAAAAAACTTATCTGACACCGGATGAGTCATAATCCACTGTCTTAATTATCAACACCACTGAAACCGCAAAACCATATTTGAAGTAAGTGGGGATTCCAGGATACTGTCAGGATTACATTTCAGCTTGAGAGTTTGCATGTAATGAGTGGATGTGATTAATGAACAAACTTGAGGCAGCAACATGATTACAATCAGTCCATCCATCACATTTGCTGAGGTTAGAGGACTGCTTTGAAAGAAAAAACAATGAGAAAATAATTTACTTTTTTTAATCTAAGAGGACACCTCTAGGAATTTCTAGGCCCCATGACCAATTTCTCCTGGGAGCTGACCATCAAACTGCATTGCAGGACCTAGGGAGTACTAAAAAGTGTTCTCTTTAGAAAATAAATCTCTAAGGGCACATTATCTGCTTTGAACTGGATTATCTGAGGCCCCTTCTACACTGCCATATAAAACCCAGATTACCGTATCTGCTTTGAACTGGATTATCATTTTACCTTGTTCATTTGGCCTGCTCATTCTGCCCATTTGATTTTATATTGTGTTAATTTGCTTTATTTATGTTATTTTGTTACTGTATGTATTTTATTTTGATGCAATTTATATTGTCTGCAGTCTATATTTTATTTTTGCTGTATTGTACCTTTGGGCTTGGCCTCATGTTAGCCGCACTGAGTCCCCTTTGGGGAGATGGTGGCGGGGTATAAAAAAAGATGATGATTATCTGGCAGTGTAGATTCATGTAATTTAGTTCAAAGCAGATAATGTAGATTATCTGTGTTGATAATTTGGATTATATGGAAGTGTAGAAGGGGCCAGGGGTTTAGCACAGCTGGTAAATCACCTGCAATTATAAGATCTATCAACCGGAGGGTTGCAAGTTCGAAGCCCCGGTTCAGCGTGAGCTGCTGACTGTCAGCCCAGCTTACTGTTGACCTAAGCAGTTCAAAAACAGCTTTAACTGTAATTAGAGAAATTACGTACCGCTAAAAGAGGGGGAGGTGTTTTACAACGCAATAAAGAAAGAAGATCAGAAAATGCTGGGCGACCAAAAGGACAAATAAAGTCCTGATGGCTCTTCGTCATAGAGGTTGGAACGGCAGCACCCCTTGTGGCTGGATTTGAACCCAACTTTCCATGGCACCAAAAAAACTGGACACTGAGCGAAACAACACACCTTCTGTTCTGTCTGTCTCTGTATTGACCTTACTATAACGACACTGAATGTTTGCCGTGTATGAGTACTGCGATCCACCCTGAGTCCCCTTCGGGGTAAGAAGGGCAGAATATAATTAATGTGTTGTTATTATTATTCCACACAGCTGCTTAAAACTCCACACTATCTGCTTTGAACTGGGATATATGGCAGTGTGGACGCAGACAACTCAGTTCAAACCAAACATTGTGGATTATCTGCCTTGATATTCTGGGCTATATGGCTGTATGGAAGGACCCTTAGTCTTCCCACGCAATCTGCAGAAGTTGACCATAATCACGCTGCACAAAAGGAACATTTTTAGTCAAATCTGTGAATAATCTAACCTGCAAATGTCAAAATTGCAAATTTGAAAAGCCAACTGCATTCATTTTCCCACACTCAACAAGTTAAGGAGGCAATAGCTTCATGCCTTAAGGGGTCCTTCCACACAGAATATCAAGGCAGGAAATCCCACATTATCTGAGTGTGGACTCAGATAAGCCAGTTCAAAGCAGGTATTGTGGGATTTTCTGCCTTGATATCCTGGGATATAGGACTGTGTGGAAAGCCCCAAGGATACTATAAATTTAATTATGACTTTCAGGGTGCCCCCGGTGGCGCAGTGGGTTCAAGCCCTGTGCCGGCAGGACTGAAGACCAACAGGTCGCAGGTTCGAATCTGGGGAGAGGCGGATGAGCTCCCTCTATCAGCTCCAGCTCTTCATGCGGGGACATGAGAAACCTCCCACAAGGATAATAAAAACATCAAATCATCCAGGCGTCCCCTGGGCAACGTCCTTGCAGACGGCCAATTCTCTCACACCAGAAGCAACTTGCTCCTGACACGACAAAAAAAAAAGACTTTCAGATCAAGTGAAGTGACAAGGATTATTCTCTACTTTTTTCTGCAAAAGCTGTGGAAATGACAGATATACTTGTACCCCTTTCTCATCAACAGGATAGGTCCACCCTTAAAGAGACCAAACAAGCACAACCCATCCCCTTTATCAACACTTTCCCATCAAGATAATGAAAGGCTGCCGTCAGGTTACAAATTATATGGTCCGTCTCTGGCCCCATCTACATTGATCATTTAATCTAGGCCACTTCCACACAGCTGTATAAAATCCACATTGAACTGGATTATATGGCAGTGTAGACTGAGATAACTCAGTTCAAACCAGATATTGTGGGATTTTCTGCCTTGATATTCTGGAGTATATGGCAGTCTAGAAGGGTCCTGAGTCTACACTGCCTAACACAGGCCCAATTTGCCTATCCAAATGCATCTCCCCCTACGAATTATCATGGAGATTAAGATCCTCTGGGGAGGCCTTGCTTTCCATCCCGCCACTGTCACAGGCACAATTGGTGGGGACAAGAGACAGGGCCTTCTCGGTAATTGCTCCACTGCTATGGAACTCCCTTCTCGGTGAGATCAGATCACCCCCCCCCCTCCCTCCTGTCCTTCAGAAGGATGGTAAAAACTTAGCTGTGGGACCAAGTTTTTGGGCCAGGGCAATAAAGCAGCAATAGGAAAGATTACCAGGCCAATTAGATTTGACACTGATGACCAGGATGGTTTTTAATGATGTATTTTAATATTGAGATAAATGTTTTTAATGTTTATGTATGCATATATGAATTCTTGTCCTGTCATTGAATGCTTGCCGTATATATGCTGTGCTCCACCCTGAGTCCCCTTCGGGGTGAGATGGGCGGAATATGTTTTAAATAAATAAATAAATAATCCAGTTCAAAGCAGATAACCTGGATTTTACATATCTGTGTAGAAGGGACCTAAGGGTGGGAACTACTTAGGGGTGAATACAGTTTGACACCATGGATCAATGTCATCAGGCATGTAGCCGGGGCGGGGGGGGGGGGGGCTTCAGCCCCCCCCCCAAATTCTCATGGTGGTCCGTGAGAAGGCCTTACTGGTGCATTATTTAAACTGTTGTGTTTATTCATATCATGATCTGATCACCATGCTCAATATATCCCATATGCATGGGGGTATTGGGGTAACGATACAAAAGATTTGCTATGGTAGACCCTCTTTCACTCAGACTCAGCCCCCCGCCCCTCCCGCCCGAATCAAAATCCTGGCTATGGGCCTGAATGCCATGGAATCCTGGGAGTTGTGGTTCTGCAAGGCCCTCAGTTCTCACCAAACTACAAATCCTAGTTGTGGCACTTAGGGCCCTTCTGCACAGCCATAGAACCCAGAACATCAAGGCAGAAAATGCCACAAGATCTGCTTTGAACTGGGTTGAGTCCACACTCAGATAATGTGGGATTTCCTGCCTTGATAATCTAGAACAGTGGTTCTCAACTTGTGGGTCCCCAGGTGTTTTTGCCTACAACTCCCAGAAATCCCAGTGTTTACCAGCTGCTAGGATATCTGGGAGTTGAAGGCCAAAACATCTGGGGACACACAGGTTGAGAACCACTGATCAGGAATATAGGGCTGTGTGGAAGGGCCCTGGGTTATCTGAGTCCACACTGTAATATAATACAGTTCAAAGCAGATGACGTGGAATTTTATTCAGTTGTGTGGAAGTGCCCTAAATGATCAATGCAGATCATAGAATGAAAGAGTTGGAAGAGACCTCATGGGCCATCCAGTCCAACCCCCTGCCAAGAAGCAGGAATATTGCATTCAAAGCACCCCTGACAGATGGCCATCTATCCTCTGTTTAAAAACCTCCAAAGAAGGAGCCTCCACCACACTCCGGGGCAGAGAGTTCCACTGCTGAACTGCTCTCACAGTCAGGAAGTTCTTCCTAATGTTCAGATGGAATCTCCTTTCTTGTAGTTTGAAGCCATTGTTCCGCATGCTAGTCTCCAGGGCAGCAGAAAACAAGCTTGCTCCCTCCTCCCTGTGACTTCCTCTCACGTATTTATACATGGCTATCATATCCCCTCTCAGCCTTCTCTTCTTCAGGCTAAACATGCCCAGCTCCTTAAGCCACTCCTCATAGGGCTTGTTCTCCAGACCCTTGATCATTTTAGTCGCCCTCCTCTGGACACATTCCAGCTTGTCAACATCTCTCTTCAAGATGATCCTCTTGATCTACTTTGAACTGGATTATCTGAGTCTCCACTGACATATAATCCAGTCCAGAGTGGATAATCCTAATCTTCAATGGTAGTGTAGAAGGGGCCGAAGGAGGTGTCATACTGTGAGGAAGATGCCCCCTGAAGCTGACACATTCAGAAAGCGAGGCGAGCCATTTTAACTAGCCACTGCGCACTTTAAATTTAAATTGGCAGGAGGCCCACGCCAAAGGAAGACGCAGGGAGACGGCCCTCACTGAAGCCTCTCCTTCCTGCCCTGAGGCCTGGGCCTAGCAGCCCCCAAAGCGCCCTCTCGCCTCTCCTTCCCGGCTCAGGAGGCGCCCGGCTCCCCCTCCCCGCCCTTCCTGCCCAGAAGCCCCTTCCTCCCAGCCCAGCCCGGCCCCACCTCCGAGGGAGGCCTGAGAGACCCAGCTCCTCGCGCCCCGAGCCCGCCCGCGCGCCCCTCCCTCCCTCCTTCCTCGGGGCCCCTCCGCCACTCACTCCTTAGACATCGCACTCAGATGACCTACAGGGAGCGCAGAGCCCCCTCCCTCCAGAGCGCGCATGCGTGAGAGCGCGCGTCATGCTCTTTTCCCCCCCCTCCTCTCCCCGCCCAATTCCCAGCGCGAGAGGGGGCGCGTGCCTCTTTCCAATGCCACGCCCCCCTTTGCCGCAGAGACCCATAAACTTCCTAACTAGACAACCAATACTTTGTTTTTTCTTCCAATGCGGGAAACGTCGGCTGGATCTACAATGCCACATCATGCAGAATATGGATTAACTGCATTAATCTGGATTATATGGCAGTGGAGGCTCAAGATAGTTTAGTTATCATGCATGGGCAAACTTCGGCCCTCCAGGTGTTTTGGACTTCAGACCTTAATCTATATAAATAAAAATGTAATGTTCGTTTGTGGGATTAACAGAACTTAAAAACCACTGGGGGAATTGACCCCAAATTTGGACAGCATACACCTAACAACCCAATGTATGTCCTTCACTCCAAAAAATTGAGTTTGTCATTTAGGAGTTGTAGTTGCTGGGATTTATAGTTCACCTACAATCAAAGAGCATTCTGAACCCCACCAACAATGGAATTGAACCAAGCTTGGCACACAGTTATTATTATTATTATTAACTTTATTTGTACCCCGCTAGCATCTCCCGAAGGACTCGATGCGGCTTACAAAGGCCAAGGCCTCAAAACACAACACAACAATACAACACCTAAAGCAAAATTAAAAACAGTTAAAGCAATATTAACGACATGCAATAAACAATACATCAAGACACTATGAAAACTGGGCCAGGCCAGAGTAAGGGGTACAGGATTAAAAGTGCTGATGTGATAGGTGGTATGTAAGGATTGTAGGGCAAGTGCAGTGTGCAGCAATCTTAGTTCTACTAAAGTGCGTCTGGGACTTGTTATTGGAGATTCCTATTCTGGAAAGGCGCATTGGAACAGCCAGGTCTTCAAGTTCTTTCTAAAGACTGCCAATGTAGGGGCCTGTCTGAGATCTTTGGTGAGGGTGTTCCAGAGTCGGGGGGCCACCACAGAGAAGGCCCTGTCTCGTGTCCCCACTAAGCGCGCCTGCAACGCAGGCGGAATCACGAGCAGGGCCTCTCCGGATGAATGAAGTGAACATGTGGGTTCAATATCTCTCTTGAACTGTGGTGCCCAGAATTGGACACAATATTCCAGGTGTGGTCTAACCAAAGCGGACTCCCATGACCAACAGAAAGTTCTCCCATGACCAACAGAAAATACTGGAAGGGTTTGGTGGGCAGTGTCCTTTGGTTTTGGAGTTGTAGTTCACCTGCGTCCAGAGATCACTGTGGACTCAAACAATGATGGATCTGGACCAAACTCTACAAGAAAACTCAATATGGTGGAGTTTGGGGAAAATAGAATCTTGACTGACAGACTTTGTATGTCTAGGTACAAAGATTACTGCAGATGCAGATTGTAGCCAGGAAATCAGAAGACGTTTACTTCTTGGGAGGAGAGCAATGTCCAGTCTTGATAAAATGTAAAGAGTAGAGACATCAGACTGGCAACAAAGATCCGCCTAGTCAAAGCCATGGTATTCCCTGTAGTAACCTACGGATGTGAGAGCTGGACCTTAGGGAAGGCTGAGCGAAGGAAGATCGATGCTTTTGAGCTGTGGTGTTGGAGGAAAGTTCTGAGAGTGCCTTGGACTGCGAGAAGATCCAAACAGTCCATCCTCCAGGAAATAAAGCCCAACTGCTCATTGGAGGGAAGGATACTAGAGACAAAGTTGAAGTACTTTGGCCACATCATGAGGAGACAGGAAAGCCTAGAGAAGACAATTATGCTGGGGAAAGTGGAAGGCAAAAGGAAGAGGGGCCGACCAAGGGCAAGATGGATGGATGGCATCCTTGAAGTGACTGGACTGACCTTGAAGGAGCTGGGGGTGGTGACGGCCGACAGGGAGCTCTTGCGTGGGCTGGTCCATGAGGTCACGAAGAGTCGGAGACGACTGAACGAATGAACAACAACAAGAAGAATCTTGACATTTGGAAGTTTGACATTTGGATTTATAGTTCACCTACAATCACTGAGCATTCTGAACCCCACCAATGATAGAATTGGGCCAAACCTCCCACACAGAACCCCCATGTGGGCCACAGCAACGCGTGGCAGGGAACAGCTAGTAATAATAATAAACTTTATTTATACCCCGCCACCATCTCCCCAATGGGGACTCGGAGGGACTTACATGGGGCCAAGCCCGGACAACATATTACAGCAATAAAATCAGAGCATAAACAACAACAACAACATCAAAGTACGTTAATTAAAAAAATCTTTAAATAACATTCTAATAAACACAATCACAATAACGATAACAATGGGCGGGCCACATGTACAGGCAGAGGCGGCCCTAGGTAATTTTCAACAGTAAGCAAACAGTATTTCCCCCCCCCCCCAACCAATCATTGATATGGAGCAGGAACGAGAGGGACTAGGCGAGGCTCAAGGGCCCGGACCCTTTGCGAAGAGGATCGCCCGGCAGTGAGGAAGCTAGGGCTGTTGTGAGCCGAGGGGGTGCTCTTCAAGTGGCGGTTGAGGGGCATTTACAGAGGCGCCTCTGCGCCCCTGGCAAAAAAAAGTGTACCGCAACCGCTTACTTTGTGTAATGGATGAGCCGCCCCTGTGTACAGGATAAAACAATTTAAAAAACTGATAGAAATTTATTTATTTATTTATTTATTTTATTTGACTTGTATACCGCTACTCCCAATTTGGCTCGGAGCGGTTTACAGCCGTAGATTAAAACAATACAATTAACTTTAAAATACAATAAAAACAAGAACAGACATAGTCCCGAGTTATTCACCCATCGAAAGCTTGTCGGAAGAGAAAGGTTTTACAGGCTCTCTGAAAAGCAAGTAGGGGATTTATGAGGTTGAACTTCCAATTTGGGGGGGGGGCAGCGAACTCCAGTAACAGAAAAGCGTTGAGGAGTGCAAAATGTCATGGTGTACACCTACTCACCAAAGGCGCAGCGGAAGAGCCAGGTTTTAAGGTTCTTTTTAAATGTTTCTAGTGAAGGGGCTTTCCTAATCTCTCCAGGTAAAGGGTTACAAAGTCAGGGAGCCACCGAGGAGAAGGCTCTCTCCCTTGTGAGGCTTGTGAGATTGTTAAAGGTGACAGAAGGACCTCCCCAGGGCCTGGGTTGGTACATGGAAAGAGATGCGGTCATGAAGGCAGGTAGTTCCTAAACCACCAATGGCACTGGAGGCCATTTAACTTATGCAGAAAGTATTGTTTATCCTTGGAGGAAATAAATGGAACGTGTGGTGGCTTCTCAACTCCAGATATTCTTAGAAGACATGGATTATCTGGACCCGGCACAGTCTGGTTTTAGACTGAGGCATGATACCGAGACAGCCTTGGTCGCCTTAGTGGATGATCTGCACCAGGAACTAGACAGGGGGAGTGTGTCTTTGTTGGTTCTGCTGGACCTCTCAGTGGCCTTCGATACCTTTTGGGACCTTCGATCCTTTTGGGATGCCTCACAGGAATTGGCCTTGGAGGTACTGTTTTGCAGTGGCTCCGGTCCTTCCTGGAGGGTCGTTCCCAGAAGGTGTTGTTGGGAGATTCCTGCTCAACTCCACAACCATTGTCTTGTGGGGTCCCACAGGGGTCAATACTATCTCCCATGTTATTTAACATCTACATGAAGCTGTTGGGAGAGATAATCTGTAGTTTCGGGGTACGGTGTTACCTGTACGCAGATGACATCCAACTCTGCCACTCCTTTCCACCTGCTACTAAGGAGGCTGTCCAGGTCCTGAACCAGTGCTTGGCCGCTGTGATGGTCTGGATGAGGGTGAACAAATTGAAATTGAATCCAGACAAGACAGAGGTCCTCCTGGTCAGTCGAAAGGCCAAACAGGGGATAGGGTTACAACCTGGGTTGGATGGGGTCACACTCCCCCTGAAGACACAGGTTCACAGTTTGGGACTCATCACTGAGCCTGAAACCCCAGGTCTTGGTGGTGGCCGGGAGAGCTTTTGTACAATCAAAACTTGTGCGCCAGCTGCGCCCGTTCCTTGGGAAGTCTGACTTGGCCACGGTGGTCCATGCTCTGGTTACATCCCGTATAGACTACTGCAACGCTCTCTATGTGGGGTTGCCTTTGAAGACTGTTCGGAAGCTTCAAATGGTCCAACGGGCGGCAGCCAGGTTGCTAACAGGAGCGGCGCCCAGGGAGCATACAACACCTCTGTTGCGCCAGCTCCACTGGCTGCCAATCTGCTACCGAGGGTATTCTGGCCACCAGGGGAGCTGTTGCTTCACGTCCATTTGTGACACTGATGAAGTACTTCCTTATTCTTTGCATGCTTGCTGGAGATTTTTATGGCATCATAAATTAGCCTCCCCGCATAAACGGTACCTAAATTTCCTACTTGACAGATGCAGCTGTCTTTCGGGCTGTAAAGGTCAACAGCAAGCTACACAAATTGGTCGGAAGCTCACTCTGACCCGAGCTGGCTTCGAACTCATGACCTTTTGGTCAGTAGTGATCTTAATGCAGCTGACTCCCAGCTAGCTGCACCACAGTCTTTTTTAAAAAGATAGGATTAGGTTATGTAGCTCCTCCGGATGCTGGTGGCTGATTCTGAACACCTTCAGACCGAGGGTGACTGGCAATAATTCACTGAGGTGAGAGTTGAGTCAAAGTGGCCCTGCGGAACTCTCCACTGAAGGTCAGCATGGTTCAAATCAATAGTTTTGACTGGGGAGGGGGGTCTTTTGGGCTCGATGACAGCTGTGTGGAAGGGCCCTAGGCTCCGTCTACATTACCACATAATCCAGTTCCCAGCAGATAATCTGGATTCAGTTTATTCAGGTATGGCAATGTAGATCCATCCCCAATCTCAAAGGTGCTCCAAAATCCCTTTGTATTCTGATCCTGTCAAACAGCTATATTCTACTGCCATGTTTATAACTGGCATGCTGTAAAAGTCTCTGTGATATAAACATACACAGCCAAAATATACAGAGTTAGTTCAAAAGCTTGCAATTTATCTAAACATGTCGGATTTTGCTACC